TGAACCTCCCAGAGTTGATTACAGGCTTATCCAAAATGTTTCAAAAGAAAAAAAAGAAAAAGAACTTAAAACACATATAAAACTTAAGACACCTATAAATCCTAAACAATCCTAAGAACCTTAAATTAAATGAATTATTTCTAGAAAATAATAATAAACACATTATAATATACTCTAAAAATCTTCTAATCTTACTTATAATATTATCCATCCTTCTAGATAAGTTTCTTCCAAGACACAATTTTAAGCACTGCTTTCTTTAAACATCTATAACTACAATATAAAGTCAGCATAAATCATAAGCAAATCTAAATACATTTAGTTAAACGAGTTATAGTCCCTCCAAAACACAAATTTAAACAATCAAAACTTGAAACATTAGAACAAACAAATTATAGTCAATCAAAAACACAAATCTAAACATTACTTAAAACTTTAAACATTAAAAATCCCTTAAAATGAGACGAATTTCGTTTAGATGGGATGTTCCGATTGGAATGGTGGTGAATTACCTGGGAATATGTTACAGACTTAATACTGTTTCTCAAGCAAAAGATTTTTATACTTCAGTATTGGGGGTATGTTCATCTCCATCTATTAAGTTCAAGACTTTGGAAGAAATGGATGTAGAATCACAGTTTGAAGACTCTAAAATTGGGCAACCCCTGTTTAAGAGATCTCAACATGTTCAGATTGAGGAGCAGGAGACAACTTGTGTAGCACAAAACTGTAAAGAAAAGCAGCAACTGAAGAAGAGTAATGAAATTTCACACCTAGTGATTGCTGAATCTGTGGGAGAAGCAAGACCCATAAATCCTTTGGAGCAATCTTCAAGGATGGAAGGGTCATCTGAGATGAAAAAGGGGAAATTCCAGCCTGAGGGGCGTCAACAAGTTGAGAGGAAGGGGCAGAGGAAAATCTGTGCAACGTATAATTGTAAAGAAAAAGACCAACAGAATAAGGAGCTTAAGGAATCCCCATATGTACTGGCTTCTGAGTCGTTGGGAGACTCAGAAAATTTGGAGCAGCTTTTGAGGACAGATCCTAAAGCATTTGTTTTAAGTTTTATGACGAAAATGGACAATCGAGGCTGACAATAATAATATCAGTATGATAATGAATGGAGAATGAAAATGGACAATTGAGATTGATAAGGACTGGGGTTTTTGTGGTTGCAACTTGTTACTGATGAAGATTTGAATATTTATTGTGTTTATGGTGGACGGAATTTCCTATAGTGTTTTTTGAGGGTGGAATTTGCTATAAACTGTCTACTTTGGATGGAATCTGATAAGATTTAAATGAGTATAAAGGTGTCTTGTTTTTTTTTCCTTTTTTAAGTTTTAAGTAATGTATAAATTTGTGTTTTGGGGGAGTTTATGAAAATGATAATAATATTTATGATATTAGAAGGATTGGAGTATATTACAATGTGTTTAGTGTTTTGGGCGGGATTTTTAATGAAAGCCTCACTTTCTTAATCACTATTGGATGTAATCAATTTACACTTGAAGAAAAAAAAAGGAAAGCCTACCTTTTAGCTTCCCTCTTGTAATTGATACACATTCATTTTGGATTAGAGTATTAGAATGGCAGCTACCAAGAAAGCCACAAAACTGATAGCTTTTGAAGACAGAATGGATGAAAGACCTGTACAGTTAAAAGAGGAGATAAAAGAAGAAGTTAAGAAGGTGGAAATTTCTGTAAAACAAGTCACTGGACAAAATGGCAAAGTGGAAAATTTGGAAAATAAGACAGAAGTTAAAAATGGAGAGATGGAAAGAGATTGAGATAAACTGGCATTATCGGAGTTGAGAAACAAGGAATTCTGCTTGAGACTCAGAGTGATTACAGAGGATTCTGGTGAAGATATTAGGGGAAAGGTAATTAAACCTTTATCACTTTTTTTAGGAATGTGATGAAGAACATACAGAGGCAGAACTTGACAAAGTTTATAGAACAAATACAAAATTGACAAAATTAAGAAATGTTCTGAGGGAAGTCCTTCTTTGTCAGGAAGAACGGATTAAGTTCTGCAGCAGCACTTCAATACAAGATGTAACAGAAGCCATCTTGAGAAAACTGTATTGGGAAATGCCATGAGTTCAAGGGATTAAGCAGGTAGCCCACAGGGAGTCATCTACCATCTTGGTCAAAGACCTGCCAAATGGAATAGAAAAGAGATGGCACAATTAGGAGCTTTGTCAATCACACTGTCTCAGACATGAACATTGCAAGGTAAAGTCAGGTAGCTGAAGGATGTCAACGCGGATGCCTAAGGTGCTCCAAGAGCATGAATGGCCATCATATCTAGAAACGTTCCTATCACTCCGTTCCCTTTTTAAAAGAACATAAGAATATGAACAGATTGCTAAGGATGCCGTTCCCAACCTCATATGCCTCAACGGAGTTGAGCGAGAACTCAAATCATCCCATCCAACCAATCTCAGGAGGATCTGGTTGGGAAAGCTGCCTTTAACACAGCCTGAATCTGTCCTGCTTCGTAGGAAGAACTAGGAAGTGACTAAAAGGACCATTCAGAGTGAGAACTTAAAAGGAGTAGATTTATGCATTAAGTGGAATCAGGTCTGTCGTTTTAAGCATTTCTCCACTACCATCTTACATCCTGGAAAATAAAAATGCAGGTAGGGAGGGAGGAAAAGTTTTGGTGATTGTATCATCTCTTTCAAGCTAAGAGACTAGGGCAGGGTCTTCAGACTTGGCCCTTTTATGACTTGTGGACTTCAACTCCCAGAATCCCTCAGCCAGGCACATTGGCTGAGGAATTCTGGGAGTTGAAGTCCACAAGTCAAAAAAGGGCCAAGTCTGAAGACCCCTGGACTAGGGCAAATGAGCCAAGATAGAGACAGGGAAGGGCCTTCACACATTGTGCTTGAGTTGTAAGAGAAGGGCCACGTTAGTATACGGTAGCAAAAAGTCAGAAGTCTGATAGCACATTTTCAACTAGCACATTTTATTAAAAGGCATATGCTTTTGTGAGCTGCCAAAAGTCTATGAGAACCTCCCCCCCTCCATTGAGAACAATCACTAATGTGTTGGATTCATCATCCCCATCCATCACAATATTCTCTTTAAGGTGCAAAAAAGAGGAGGAGTCACTTGGTGTCCTACTTTCCATCTCTGTTCTGCTGCTGTATATGCATAAAGAGATTAAAGCTGGACTAATCAAAGACTCCTTCCTTTGGGACCTTCTCTGCTAATTAATCATTGCATTGTTTCCACTGGCTTTGGAATATTCTGGGCCTTTTGATATAAACATCTAATGTAAATTCTTGCCCATTGTTCAAGCTTCTCTCCCTTTTTTTTCTCTCTTTGTGTTTGCCTGCCTTTTATCCTGCTTTTGCCATTTTAAAAAACACATATATTTATGGATGTTTCATAAACAAAGATATTTTTGCTAGTTGAGCTGAGAGGCGTGTGTTCTTGCTCTGATCTGGATAAAGGGACTGACTAGGAGGCTGCTGGGTACAATTGGGGAAAACCCACAATAATCTTCCAACGTAGTGTACATTCATAAATTAATTCATTGTAAACTTTTCAGTTGCTGGAATTCAAATTGTTACTGCCCAACAGCCATTTCTTGCTTTAAAGATGGATACATATTTCAATAATTTATACTCCACTGGTCTGTGGCTGAGTAAAGTAGATTTATCGTTGGTTATTACCTTTATTAGGATCAACCAAAATGACTCGCTTTGCTAACTTTCAGAGCATTTGGGTTTTTTTTCTTGTTTTTTTTGTTTTGTTTTACCAAATCACTTTCTGCCACCTGACCTGAAAACATTTTCAGGTGAATTAAAAAAAACAAATAAACCAGCAACTCTGTAGCATCATTTTGATTGTTTCTAACTAAAACATCACCAACATATAAATTATAGATTGTCTTCCACAGATCAACAGTTAGTCTTTAAAACAAACGAAACAAAACAATATCTGAAGTAGTTGTAGCATTTTGGCTCCAGAGTATCTCTTTTTCTGACATTAGACCTTTGACCTTCATTTTGAAAATAGGTAGAGCTGGGTTATTCTGAATGGATGACCAGAAGCAACCCCATATTAACCATTAGGCAAATTAAGCCCAGAATCAGGGGCTTAAGAGGAGTGCCAGAGTTTTCCCCCTAGTTATCATACCTTTAAGTCTTTCACTACCACACTCAACTTTAGTTTTCAGTACATTTTCGTATTTGCGTTTCCCCCCTTATAGAACCATTTAATTACAACAGGCATTCAAAAGGGTTGAAAATCTGCATTTTTTTTCCTGTTCCCTAGTTATAAATAAATAATTTTCTTATTTTGCTTACTATATTTAATGTTATTTTTTAAAATTTATACTTAGTATAATTGCAGGATTATATTAAAGTATTAATCTTTAATCTCTTATTTAAACTTCAACATTTATTGAACTCTATTGTTGGCCTGTGCTTGGGTATCCATTGGCTTTAATCTGTACTTGACTAAAAACCTTTAATTGAAAACTTTCAAGATATGAGGGAGAGCCCAGCATGGCTGCTGGCTGAGGAATTCTGGGGGTTGAAGTCCATAAGTCTTAAAGGTGGCAAGGTTGGACACCCCTGCCCTTAGGTTCAGGAGCTACTGAGAAATGAAGACAGCTTAGACATAAGGAGAAATTTCCTGACAGTTAGAACAACTAATCAGTGGAACGACTTGCTTCCAGAAATTATAGGTGCTCCAGCAGTGGAGGTTTTTAAGAAGAGATTGGACAACCATTTGTCTGAAATGGTGTAGGGTTTCCTGCTTGAGCAGGGGGCTGGACTAGAAAACCCCCAAGGTCCCTTCCAACTCTGTTATTCTGTTTCAAACCCATGCCTGTGTTTCTCTGCCGAACTGTAAGGCAGAGATGATTTGGCTCATGGCCATAATATAGCAGGTGGAACATCGCCAGTTTTCATTTGGTTGATAGATTTGGATCATTATTCCTCCCAAAATGCTAATCTGGTTTTCTGTTTGATTTTCTGCAGACCATCCTGGTGGGAGACAGCGGAGTGGGGAAGACATCACTGTTGGTCCAGTTTGACCAAGGCAAATTCATCCCCGGCTCCTTCTCTGCAACTGTTGGAATTGGATTTACCGTAAGGACCCCTCGGGTGCCCCTTTTGTTGGGGAATGGTTTACTCTGAAAGTCCTGGTGTTTGGCTTCTGATATAAGAGCTCAGCAGACAGTCGTAGTAAATAAGTTCAAGCGAACAGATCTAGAGAAAAACAAATAATGACAGATAATGTGGTAATGTGATAAATGTATTATGTTGGAATTTGAGGTATCTTGGCACTAGGGATGGCTAGGGCAGGGGTAGGCAACCTTGACTCTTTTATGATTCGTGGACTTCAACTCCCAGAATTCCTGAGCCAGCATGGCTCAGTTTGGAAACCTCTCCCTTTTCCCTCAGCATGGCTGGCTCAGGAATTCTGGGAGTTGAAGTCCACGAGTCATAAAAGAGCCAAGGTTGCATACCCCTGGGCTAGGGGTTTTTATTTTGGTTGGGGGTTGAGTTCCTTCAAGTCTTGACTCCTGGCGACTGTCTGGACAAGTCCCTTCAGTAGATTTGGCAAGATTTTCAGAAATGGTTTGCCCTTGTCTGCCTCCTAGGACTGAGAGAAAACTCTTAGTTTCTAGGCCTGGGGCCTTAAGCCATATACCAAACTGGCTCTAGGAATGAAATTAATGTAGGCGAGTGTACAGGTAGTCCTCAACGTACAACCACAATTCAACCCAAAATTTCTGTTGCTAAGTGAAACATTCGTTAAGTAACTTTTATCCCATTTTACGACCTTTTTTGCTACATTTGTTAAGTGAATCACTGTAGTTGTTAGTAACCCAGGTGTTAAGTGAATCTGGCTTCTCCATTGACTTTGCCTGTAAGATGGTCGCAAAAGGTGGATCACATGATTCCCGGACGCCGCAACCATCATAGATATACTGCAAAGGCCGTAAGTGGAAATAACAGTCATAAGTCTCTTTTTTTCAGTGCCACTGTAACTTTGAACAGTCACTAAATGAATGGTTGTAAGTCAAAGACTACCTTAGTGCACGTCTTCTCAAAAACTGTGGAACATGATGAGTATGGATGGTCATGAAAGATTCGTTTATCAGGAGACAAATTGTAATTTTAGAGCTTGCCAGGATGGTTTTTCCCCCGGTATGTCTCTGTAACTTACTCTGAACTGTTTTTATTTTCTGTCTAGAGAACCAGCATAGGACTAGAGAAAAGATTAGGCTGTAGGTTGCAATTTTGCGTTGCAATATTTTTCATTTTTTTAAAACCTAAAGTAATAATAGTGTGGTCTTTCTTTACCTCTTAGTGAGACGTCCCAAATTAAGAAAGCTGATTCTCAGTCAACTAAACAGATGAGTATAGCATAGCGGCTCCCAACCTTTTCTATACCCTGCACCCAGTGGTGGGATTCAGTCGGTTCGCACCTCTTTGGCAGAACTGGTAGCTAATTTTTTGTTGTCCAGGCCCAGAACGGACTTCCAGAAGCGGCATCTGCACAGAGAACCGGTTGTTCACTTATTTGAATCCCACCACTGCCAGCACCCCTAGAACGCTTCTGATATATTCTTGTACCCCTTACAAAAGTTCAAAATAATGGCAACGCATTATGCATATACCCCATAATTTTGAAAACCCAACCTTTCTCACCCCCTGGAATATCGTCTAACACTCCCGGGGGGTGCGAGCACCCCAGGTTGGGAAGCCCTGGTATAGCAGATGAAAGTATTATTTCCTCTGTGCCATCAATCACCCTCCTCAAGCAAACCCTCTGTGCTTCCTTTTATTTATTTTATTTTTATTTTATTTTATTATTTTATTTTATTTTTTATTTTATTTTATTATTATTTATTTTATTTTATTATTTTATTTTATTTTATTATTATTTTATTTTATTATTATTTTATTTTATTTTATATTTTATTTTATTTTTATTTATTTTATTTTATTTTATTATTATTTTATTTTATTTTATTTTACTTTACTTTACTTTACTTTATTTTATTTTATTATTTTATTTTATTTTATTTATTACTTTCTTCTCTCTTTTATTACTATGTCATGGAAAGCCGGGCCCTGTTTTACCAGAGAAGTCCTCTTAAGTGCCTTGGGAAGCTGATGAAGTTGCCCATCAGACTGGGCAGTGATCCTATTGAATGGATGCGATTTCCAGACAGAGCGGCTGACCCCTTGGTAGATGCACTTAGAACAAAACAGAATAGAATAGAATAACAGAGTTGGAAGAGACCCTTGGAGGTTTTCTATCTAGTCCAGTGTTTCCCAAACTTGACAATTTTAAGGCATGAGGACTTCAACTCCGAGAATTCCACAGCCAGCAACGCTGGCTGTGGAATTCTGGGAGTTGAAGTCCACATGCCTTAAAATTGTCAAGTTTGGGAAACACTGCTCTAGTCCAACTCCCCCTGCTTAAGCAAAATGCAACTCTTAGCGAATCTGTTCCCAAATCGGTCTCAGCTCCTGCTAATAAGAAACGAGGTTGGGGGAGATAAAAAAAGAGGAAGGGATACCTCAATTTTCATGTAGAAAGGAGAAGTGTTGCAGTGTTTCTCAATCTTGGCAGCCTGAAGACGTGTGGGAGACATTCTGGGAGTTAAAATCCACACATCTTCAAATGAACAGTTATTTAGGTGGGTTGTTAAAGCTTTTAAGACAATACAGATGATTTAAATATTTTTTTTCTGGTTGTTTCATGTATCATATTATTTTGGGCTTCTTTGGGTGTAGGAAAAGCTTCCATGTGCTTTTTTTTTTTGCATCTTTTACTATTAAGATGAGGGGGGAAATCTCTAGATCTCTTTGGCATGTTATGGCAAAAAATAACTCATGTTATTCTTTGGCATCAGTCTAGAAGTGACATACATCTGTCATATTTTTGTCTTTAATTTCCAAGTGAAGCATAGATTTCCTGCTAGCCTCCCATCCAAGTCTTTACCAGGCTTAACCTTACATTTTGAGAACAGTCAATAATTTTATCTATGTGTTACCACAAATATAGTGGCAAATTTGGGATGGACTGTACCTAGATTGATTTGATTTTTTTCCCATCCAAGTATTTTTTCCCTGGAGATTTTTTTTTTTTTTTTGCATTTCTATGGCTTTGATGTTTTCCTAAACCTGGTGATGATCTATCATAGGAGGGCAATATCATTGTAGATACCTAAAAATCCAAACTGGGAGCGCAAGATCCCAATTGGTATATATACTGTACTGGAATATGTATAGAAAACACAAGATAGGTTGAGGGAGGAGCTTTAAAGTGCAACATCGCCTCCTTGTGGCAGTTACCAGGCAGTTTTGGTTAAGCAATCTTTTCTCTTTGTAGGACTGGCAGAATCATTTGTTGTGAAAGATTATGAAACAGAATATTAAGGATTCTGAAAGATTATAATGTGTGTGTATATATATATATATATATATATATATATATATATATATATATATATATGTTTTAAAAACATATATACATATATATGTTTTAAGCCCTGATGATGCCGGCAGGTGACGGCAAAAGCTTGGCATTTTTTAATTAAACTTTTTATAGTTTTAACTACCCTGGTGCTCATCTTATTTTAAACATATATTTATATTTCAAGAATATTGGTAAAAATACGACTCCCGGGCATAATTATAAATAAAAGAATAAAACACGATCACCGGGAGAGTTGAAGTAATAATACTTTACTAAAAATATATTAATACTAAAAAGCTGCCAAGCTTTTGCTGGGGGAACTCCCCAGCATCATCAGGGCTAAAAGGCCATTGCAGTAAAGGTGGTTTAAGTAGGTTCAAGTAACGTTTGCGCACGGCTCTTAGACCGTGTTACTGGCTCTGATTGGCCAGCTGAAAGCCAAGATGTGTCTATAATGTTATGTTCTTTTCTTCGGATGCCCTTCCCTATCCCTCCACTATTGGTCTTTAGAGGCGTTAGTAACCTTTCATCCCCTCCTTTTCCGATAATACCAACGTCTGCCATGTCGGGGGGAGGACTTGATCTGATGTTTTCTTGTGTTTTACAATGGGGATAGGGCTCCACTAACTGTGGGTTAATATCCCTTCCCAATTGTGTATCTCTCTCCTCCTTTGTCATGTTAACAGCTCCTATCCGGGTACGGTATGCCTCAACAATCAAGTCTTTATTCCCCACCTCAGTCTCCCTTACATACATTCCCTCCCGTTGTTTGGCACTCAAACCGCTCTCATTACTCCTCCCCTTGCTGATCGAGCGGGTTGTCATTCTATGATTTCTCTCCCCTCTCCACATGGGACGCTCCTCTTCATTGCTATGGGCAACCACACACTCCGAGATTTTAGCATTAAGTCTTTTAGGTGTTCCGGCTCCATTAATATCGCTCCCTCCCTCCTGGGGGGGGGGTGTGAGGCTCACATGGGGTTGTTGGGCGGTGCATGGATCGTCCATATCGGGCACCCCCTCCCTTTCTTTCTCCGTGCGTGGGGAGTCCATAGCCTCTATTCCAGCGTCCACATGTTGGGGTGGGAGACTCTCTCGCTGCACGATCCAGCGCCGGTCACCTGGCAAGGGGGTGTTGATGGTATAGTTATTTACGTCCATATACAGCGTTTCCGATGGCGGGGGGATGCGGGTTCCTGTCCATAACGCCGCAGGTGTTGGTATGATTGCTTGCGATGTAATGAGTGATGATTTGTGTCCCATTTCCGCAGCGCTTGTTGCACTGGATGCAAGTCAATGCAACGATTAATTGAGCTGTCATTCGAGAACCAGGCCTCTTTCAGTAGCCGGCCTCCCTTCATGGCATCACTAGCTACGATACAGGTATTAACAAAGTCAAATTGATGGCCCTCCTGTGCCATATGCATCCAAAGTTGTGAACGCTGCTCGCCCCATTTTATAGCCAACTGGTGTTCATGGAGACGAGTCTTCAGGTGTTTGACTGTTTCCCCTACATAGTTGCCTTGGCAATTCTTACAATTGATCTTATAGACAACAGATGATTTCTCCATGGGGGGTAGGGGGTCCTTTGGGCGCATGACTTTAGACTGTAAAGTTTGATTTGGCTTGTGAGCCACCTCTATCCCATGGG